CACACACACACACACACACACACACACACACACACACACTGACAATTCAATTCTGGGCTGTCCAGGATGGGCCTGTCTCTGCACATTAACTAGAGGATGTGAAGGAACATGACTGAAAGCAGACAAGGACATCCAATCCAGAGGAAGGATGGCCTCTCCCTGTCCCTGGCTCACAAAGGACATTCTGGAAGGCTGAGCCTGAGCCTGTGTCCCCTGAGTCCCCACTCTGCTCACACCATCCCAGGACAGCATCTCCATAACAATGCAATGAATCTCTCCTGCTCTCTTGACCCAAGGGGAATTTGCACAGAGGAAATCAGGCTGTGGGCTTAGGTAAAAACAAAACAAACAAACAAAAACGGACTTAATGCAATGTGAGCTGGTCCTCCCTGGGACTGGGAGTGGCTCCAGGACTACCCCACCCTGGCTGCTGGCTGATGCTTCTGTGCATATAGACCTGGGTGGTGAGAAGAACACGAAAGGTGCCTTGGCCATGGCATGGAGGGGGAGCTGACATGAGGGGCAGACTGCAGAGGGAGATATTTGTGGTCCTTCCTTAAAACTCCTTATCAAAATAATTCACTGTCCCTCCCAGTGACTTCATAAAAAATTTTCCAAGAGCAAAAGAAGCTTGGGATGGGACCATTTCTTTCTTAAATATCTCCTTCCTTCTAGCCTGTGGTCCAGGGTGATAAGAGAGCCACCAAGGCTGTGGGAGACTCAGGTCTTGCATTTCCTTACATGGAGGTATAGAGAAGGCACGAGGGGAAGATGTCCCCAGAGCATTTCAGACATGCTGCTTAAACAGCAAGTTCCTTCTAGCGAAACCTACGTGATGACAGAGAGCTCACTGCCTGGTACGAGTGAGAATCTGTCCTAACCCCACTCCTACCAAGGGCTCCATTACAGACTGATGTATGGGGTGTGACCAGTCTTTCCAGGTGTCAGAGATAGTGGCCATGGCCTATGCTGTCTCTTTGGATTTGGTGCTAGTAACTTTACTGCTTCTTGTTTGAAATGTATACCTGTTTGTCTCCACAAAAACCATAAGAGGAGCTGTGATTCTAGAAGTAGCTGAGGTGTATATGGCCTGCAATAACAGCCCTATAATGGAGTGGCTGGCCTAGTGCTATGATGCCTGTTTGTAGGTTTCTGCTGGTGGAGCAGCACCACCAAATGAACTCCCTTAGAGGAGTTGTCTCCAGGGGGACCTTCATGAAGGCTTCATATTGAAAAAAATAAAACAAAATAAAATAAAAAAAGAGCTTGAAGAAGAGAAGAAACCTGATGAGAAGGAAGTATCAAGGGCAGAATCAAGAAGGGAGTTGTGCCCAGAACCTGGACTCTAGACAGCGCCACAATGTTCCCCGCACTGGGTATGGCTGGAGGAGAGTGGGCAAGGCTAGGCCCTGCAAGGAGGAGTGAGAGAAGAAGGAAGGGACAGTGGGCGGGACAGGGGCAGGTCCCCCATCACCCGCTGGGAGAGCAGGCCCCATGGCCCTTGAAGCAGAAAGGACTCTGGGCTCCTCTCTCACCCTGCAGTTGGTCCCTCCAGGTCAGGGTGGAAGCACATGGGTGGGCGGGGTGGGGAAAGGCTCTCTGGTGCTGCCCATGCTGTCTCCTCTCTATAGTTAAAATCAGGTCTTTGGCTGGTACCTTGTCACTTTGTTTAAGCATGAAAATATCCCTTACATTTGTTCTCTGGCTTTAAAATCAAGATATAATGACCACAGCATCCCCCACTATAAAACAACGTCGCTCCAGACAAGTGCCTTAGGAAAATACTAACTGGAAGAAAGCCACCTGCCGAGTGGCCCAGGGGGACTCTGCTGCCTCTAGGCTGCAGAAAGGAGAAGCAGGACCCAGGGCACGGACCTCTTTGGGCGTCTCCTGGTGGCACCGGTTGTTGTTCCACCACAGCTCCAGGGCGGCCACCAGGCAGGCAAGGAGGAGGCCTATAGCCAGGATGCAGAAGACACCGGCAAAGCTGTGCAGTTTGAGGGACTTGCCGTCAGCCTGGGCGCTGGTGTGGCTGCTGAGGTCGCAGCGGCCTGTGTGCGGCCACCACTTCTGCTTGAGCACATCCAGGTCCCCAGTGTCTTGCAGCTCCAGGATCCTACAAGATACAATCCACATGAGCCACAGCTGCTGGCCTCATCAATGCATCATGGGAGCCTTGGCTGCTTCCCCACCACGCTGGCCCCACTGCAGACAATGCTGCACCATCACAGCGGCTCTCTGCCTCCACGTTCCCCCTCCCAATCCCTTCACTCTGCAAGCAGAGTGCTCTTCCCAAAATACACATCGGGTTTTGGCACTCTCCTCCTCAAAAGACTCAGTGCCCTCCCAGTCCCACTGCCCATGGATAAATTCCAATTGCAAAGCACATAAGGACCTTTCCCATCCTGGGGTAGGCTCTGAGGATGAAATCAGGAAATACAGAAATGGATGAGACACACACTCAGACTTAGGATATCCATGCTTATGAAAAGGTTCTCTTTCAAACTTCAGTAAGTTTCTCCCACTAGGATTCAACAATCATTCATTCATTCAATTAAAGGAGCATCTGCATTGTGCCAAAATGATGTTCAACATTGCTGAGCTTATGGTGTAGAGACACACACACGAACATGAAAAGAATTAGATGTGGAGACAGAAGATGTGACCAATACAACAAAATGAACAAAATGAACATAGAGGGGCTAGGAAATGGTGCACTGGGGGCGTGGCCCAGACTGGAGGGTTAGGGAAGACCTCCTTGAGGAGGTGGCAGGTAAGTGGAAACCAGAAGGATAGTTAGTCATACAATCGCTCACATCCACCCAGCATGCTCTATGTGTCAACAAGTAGCCTAAGTGCTTGATAAATAGTGTGTGACGCTCATATCGACCCTTTGAGATGGTTACTTCCTTTTTCCCATGTTTACAGAGAAGGAAACTGAGACACAGAAAGGTGGAATATTTTGCAGTCACTTTGAGGTTGGCAGGGTTAGCCTTCAACGAGGAGAAGGAAGACCCTCCCTAAGACTGGAACCATGTTTGAGAGTCGTGTCCAGAGAAAATGCTCAGCATGTCTGAGAAGCTAAAACGTGGCCAGTGAGACTGCAGAGCGGAGTATGAGGAGGAGGACAGTGAGATGAAGAGCCAAGGCAGGCAGGGCCAAGAACATGGGCTCTGAGAGCGTGGCAGGGAGCCTGGGTTTTATCCTGTGTGCAAAGCAGGGCAACCCCTCTGTTATATTCCCCAGGTGGCTGGATGGCAGTTTTCCTTTGCATGGTGTTCTATGTACTCCCTTTATAACCCAGAGGTCTGAGCAGTGCATTAGTGGTAGCTGGTAGCCCCCTGCTCCTCACATCCAAGCTTTTCCATTTAGGGAGGGGGCCCTTTAAGGCCAGTCTATGGTGATATATTTAGCTGACAACACCTTCTGGACCTCTCTGAGCCCTCTGGTTATACACAGTTTGAGAGCAGTGGTTCTTTAGAGCCAAGAGAAACTCACTGCTAACTGGCCAGTTGAACTGCCTCTGCCCTGAACTTGCATTACAGGCCAGCTGTGAGCATAGGCTGAGGCTGACATCAATGACCGTGCATAGGCTGTGACCGGTGGATAGGGCAGGCGACAGCCCAAAGGAGGTTCCCTGACCTGTCAGCACATGGGCCCAGGGTAGCATGGCCTCCTGATGGCTGGGAACAGCCTGACTCAGTGCAAACAATAGGCTTTGTAAGCACCAGATCTCAGTTGGCTGTCCCCAGGCGAATGACTTGCCCTGTTAACCTCGGCTCCCTCATCTTGGCCACATAGGCCCATGATCCCTAATAGATGCATCGACCCTTCAGGACAGGGGCTGTGTGTTACTCTCCATGTTTTCCCCTGAGCAAGCACAGGGGCCAGCACAACTTGGGCTGTCAGTGGATGTTTGTTACATCAATTAATGTATGAATGTATTATCTGAATATTGAAAACTGACCTAAACTAAAATGGCCATGGCGAGATAATTAGATAAAGTCCATGAAGTGCCCAGGGTGCAGATCAGCACAAAAGACTTAGAATGTGGCTACGCAGATAAGACCTTGGTCCTTGAGATAAACCCAATCCACATGTCACATTTGTGTGGTGTGGAGTCATGCTCAGTATGCTGCTGAGGCCATAGGTCTCTCACATGGATAACCATGATTACCTGGGCAGCTGTAGTGTTCCACCACCTGCGTGTGGCTCAGGACATGTTAGGGAATCTGCACGTCTGTACATCCACTGGCTCATTCTGACCAGCCATAATTAAGTCTCTGCTGGCAGGTCCAAGCAGGCTGGGCCTCCAGGCAGTTACAGGATTACAGGACCTCAGGACCTTTAAGACTCATGATCGAAGTACTGACTCACCTTGGAGAGAGCTGAGCTTCGTGTTTATTGGCACAGATTCTGCTCTGAGGGATGTCAGTTCTAACCCAGACTCTGCCATCACCCTAGCCGTGTTACAAAACCTCTCAACTTTAGCTCTCTCATCATTAAAATCTGAGATCATAATAAATGCACCTACCTCACAGAATTATGGTGCCAAAATGAAAAGAGTGAACACATGTGGCCCACTCAGCTCGAGATCTGGCAAATGTATTACTTATTGAGCTCCATAAAAGCTGGTTAATACTCATAGTTGCAGCCTGATGGCCATATTGACCAGCAGCCCTATCAGTCAAGGGCTGACATGAGCTGCCTTTTACTGAGAACATAGAGGGGACTGATCAATTTACATTGTTTTCTTCCTCATAACAGCCTACAAACCAGTTTCTACTATGTCTGCTTTACCTATTGAAGACCTGAGGCTCAAAATCTATTGCAACTGACTTGCTCATGGTTGCAATTAGAAAGTGGCAAAGTTCCTCTTCAGAACTGGGTCATGCTGACCCAGGAGGCCATGCCCTTTCCAGAACACCAGGCTGCTAAGTGCAGTCAGCCTGCTCTCTGAGAGTCAGGTTCTGGCCTCAGGGATGGTGAGACTGGCCTGAGCATGGCTGTGGGGCCAGATCCCCACTCTACTGCTCGCTGACTGCAGTATCAGGAAGGCTGCTTAATTTTGCTGATGCATCTCTTTTTGCTGCTCTTTATAACTGCATGTATTTTTTTATGCCCAATATCCAGGAAGAATATAAGGCAATTTATAGAAAAACAACAAATAACATAAAAATCAAACACATCAAAGAGAAAATTTAAATATGTAAGCAACAGAGGGAAGATAAAACAAGTCACAGGCACAAAATGAGTCACAGGCACAGAACGAAGCTAAGCTAATGCGCACCATAATAATCTATACCGCTTACGAGGACGCCAGAGCAATAACAGCCACCTCCTGAAGCCAGTTGTTCTAGTTTCCAGACAGATATAATTGCAGGTGCTTTCCCCCAGTCAATAGTCGTGGAGCCTGCTACACAGTAGGCGCTCTATAAATGGCTATCGAGTCACTAAACATTTATTGAATGCCCACTCCGCATGCCGTGGTCCACAAATGGGCCATAGCTCTCAGTCTCAGCCACATACAGCTGTAGTCGATAGACCGTCCTCTGCCAAAGCCAGAAGGCATATTTGTATTCAAAGAAATAGCCTAGTTCCCAGGACAAAGGGAAAGAAGGTCCCAGCAGTTCCAGGTGAGACTGGGATTTGCTCTTTACATGGGACCCTTTTTCTGTAAATGGCATGGTGCATTGCCTCCTGGACCTGCCTTTTGCTCCTCTCAGGCATGCCTTAGCTGGGGACAGCTCACAGTTCTGTATGCACCATACAATTGAGCCTCTCAAAGAGCCACTGGCAGCAGTCAGTTGGCAACATGAGGTCTGAGCAGCCCCGTAAGTAGACACCCATCTGCCCAGGTCAGGATGGGGAGGATGCTTCCAGCCCAGGAGGGGTCTCACCATAGAGGCAGATGACAGTACCTCGGGAGGCCAGCATGGCCCACTGAGTACATTTACCTACAGTCACAGAGCACATGGCCTTCTGATGAGAGTAAGGAGTAATAAGTAACTTCTTGCCAGAATAACAAGGAAACTGAACTCCCTACTTTTCTTTATGGAGATCCCTGGGGTCAGGGCAGCAGCCCACAGTTTCTCTATTGGGAGAAATTTTGAATACAGCCTCCTGGTCAGCAAGCAGACGTAAAGCACAGGCCTATTCCAGGGAAAGCTGGTTCCCTGGGACTCCACAACCCAACACTGGCCCTGGTCCATTGCTCTGGAGCCACACAAATGACATCAACTTCCTTCTGCACCGAGCAAGTCTGACGATATTGGAGGTGAGCAAGCACCCTCTCCCTACTCATCTCCGTCTCCAGGTTGAGTATTCTCAGGTTCCCCTCTGACTCATTTGAGATCCTCACTGCCCTGGCTCCACTGACCATCCAGCTGGGAACCAAGCTCTCTCCTCTCTCAGGCAGTTCAATGCTCACTTCAGCAGACTTTCAGGAGATCTCTGAGCAGAGTGAGTACAGAGACTAAGCTTCCCTCACGGGAACCTTATGCTTCCGTGAGCTCTGGCTTGGGGCACATTAGCTGTCTGGTGGTGGTGGTGCTGCTGCTGCGTTGGCTCCACTAGCTCCCTGACCATCTGTTCCAGAGAGATGCTCACAGGTTGATGGTCTGTGGAATGCCCTGAGCCTTCTGTCTCAGAAAACCTACTGGGGTAAACCTCAAGAACACCAGTGTATTACGTATCTGGAGAGAAGCCATTCTCTCTTCATGCCTTTAATCTGAACAATTGATAAATCACGACTCTTCCTTCTCTCTTGTCAGCTCTCTCTGCTCCACGGAGCAAAGGGAGGCACAGAATGTATACTTGATTAAAACCTAGAAAAAGCCCCAAAGCCTCATTTAACTTAATTAGTTCTACCCTTTCCCCAGTTTTGCAAATAAGCCTCTGAATGGATGAGTCACAGACCCCACTCCCCAGCCTATCCCAGATGGGGTTTAGGGTCAGGTGCTTAAGATGGAAGGATCCCACTTAAAATCTAGGAAGGAGGAAAAGGGAGGTGATGGAGCTCAGAGATCTAACAGCAACACGGGGACAGCACTAGGGTCTCAGGGGACCCACCTTCCCCTTCCAACTCTGCCAGTAGCTGGCTGAGTGACCCCAGGGGTCAGTTACCCTCTGTGAGCTTCAGGATGCTAAGCAGATGACTTCTGATGACTCTTTCCCCTCCAGATAGATGGTTCTCAGTACTGGAATAAATGCGTTAATCAGGCAACTGGGGTTTGCCCCTAAGCCTGGGCACGTGTCGGCCTTTTCACCTGGATGGACACTTCTACCCTATTTTGGATTTTGGTAGAGCAAGACAGAGCCTGTCCTTAGGGATTCCTCTCTGGGCTCTGTAGTTATGCCCCTTTGCCCACCAGGATGTCATGTCACAGGCATTTGTGAGTGATGGACCCAAGACTTCACTATCTCTGGGGAGAGGAGATCGCGCTGGCAGGCTGGTTACTGGGAAAAGGCCACTGAGCTTACCTGAGCTCTTCACTTCCACCATCTCTGGTGAGGCCAGGTCACCTGGTCAAGGACTAAGGTAAGCTCTTGTGGCAGAAAACAGGGGTAGGATGATGGGAGACTAGTCTTCTCAAGGAGGCTGACCAGGTGTCCAGACAGAGAGCACTTGGAAAGTTGCTCATGCCCCAGGGAACAGAGAAGATAGGCTCAAGGGATGGACTCATACCAGAAAATCACATGGGATACTAACTAGGTCAAAGCAAACTAGACACTGTACTCATTTCCGGTGGAGGGTGTCTGTGTGCTTTGGCTTAAACTGAATACTCCTGTCGACACAGCCCTCCGCCCCGCTTCCCCAGCGTGCCTACCATTCGCTAGTATTAATTACCAAGAAGCTGATCTGGGGAGGACAGGGAAGAGGCAGGGGAAGAGAACCAGGCCCCTCCCGAGTCCAGCAGGGAGCACCTGGCCCCTGGCCCAGGTACTATGACTCTGGAGTCCATCTGCTTCTCTGGCCCCACTTTTTGTCAAGTCTACACATTGAGTCTTCCCACTTTGCATTTATTTTGAGACGTTATTATTGGGCCCTTGCCAGAGCCAATTAATTATTCATTTAATTTTAAATGACTGGGCCTGTCTGGCTAACCCCTACTCATCCTGCTGGCCTCAGGTGTCACCTCCTCTGGGAAGTCCTCCCTGGTCTCCTGGGTTTGGTCAGATGCCCGCCTCCACCCCCAGAGTATTCTCTCTGTCACACTTACTGCCCTGTGCTGACATCGCCCACTCACTTCATAATTCCCACTGAGGCTATGCACCTTCATGGGAAGGGACCTTATCCCAGCACCTGGGGGTGGGGGAGGAGCAAGCACTGGTTCGTAGTCTCGTGCTGAGGAGACTGTGCTGAATAAACGAGTTTGCATTGGCTGTCATCTCCTACAAAGAGGGTACCCTCCAACCGCAGCACAGGTGGCTGCTGGGCCTACCTCTGAGAGAAGAGGTCCCGGTAGGGGCTACCATGCTGCAGGGCGATCCCATAGCCCTTGCTGCTGACGCTGTTGCTGATGACAGCCACAGAGCAGTCGTCGTCTGTCAGGGCTGCATACTCCACCACGGCAACATCCCACAGAAAGGCGTAGTTTCCCTTCTTTGCCTGAAAGACCAAAATCACCATGAAGTCAGGCAGGTCTGGCCTGCTATATTAGCTTCAAGTAGTGAGGTATCTCCATGGTGGGATTTGAAGGACTCTCCTAAACAGTCCTCCTGCCCACCAGCCAGCACAGCACACTCTCCTCTGATTTTTTGGTCTACAAATCCCACCACTGTTTGATGCCATGCACTGTGGTTAGACAGAAAAGGACGTGATGCTGCCTCTATAGGGTATAGTACAGTACATCTCACAGTGGTGTGGATCTATTTCTCCTGTTGGCAGGCTCACCTAGGAGACTGCAGAAAGTCTGACCCCAAGGAATTGATTTTTCCAACCAGATATTTAGGGGGAGCATAATAGCATCCATTTAATATTCCTACTTGGAATCTGACTGAGCCCTGCATAGGCTGATCATGGGAGATGGCCCTAAACTCAGTGCCCCTGAGTGGCCGTGACTTAATATCTAAATCACGGATTTGTGAGGCATGGAGAAGAACCCATTATTATGGTGCCAGGTTGGGTTTCTGCTACTTGCTTTTCACTGCCCACACACACGCCCAAATCCATCTGCATACGAGTTCTGAAAATTAAGTTCGCAAACTTGTTTCAAAGATGTTGCTAACCTTTTTTTTGATATCAGAGGGATTTTTCATTACAAATTTATACCAACTGGACACACAGTTAACCAAGTTTACTATTTAGATGTGCTGAAAAGGTTGCGTGAAAAAGTTAGATGACCTAAACTTTTTGCCAACAATTCATGACTCTTGCATCACGACAATGCACCAGCTCACATGGCACTGGCTGTGATGGAGTTTTTAGCCAGTAAACAAATAACTGTATTGGAACACCCTCCCTACTCAACTGATCTGGCCCCCAGTGACTTCTTTCTTTATCCAAAAATAAAGGAAATATTGAAAGGAAGACATTTTGATGACATTCAGGACATCAAGGGTAATACGACATTTCTGTTGGCCATTCTAGAAAAGGAGTTCCAAAATTGATTTGAAGGGTGGACTAGGTACTGGCATTGGCACATAGCTTCCCAAGGGGAGTACTTCGAAGGTGACAGTAGTGATATTCAACAATGAGGTATGTAGCACTTTTTCTAGGATGAGTTCTCAAACTTAATTGTCTGACTTTGTATACATATGCATGGACATATTTATATGCACACATGAACACATATCTGCATGTATGTGCACACATATACAGGATCAGTTTACACATACAGGATCAGGTTACTGGTGTCACCGTCTACATCAACACAATGGTTGCAAAATTATTCCATCAGAAATTTGCCTGCGGCCATAGCTAAAGTCCCACTCCATCACACCCATCCAGAGCAGACAGTCAATTCTATCCTGAACCATAACTCTGACTTTGCCTAGAGTTTGGGCACTCAGAAAAAACTGTAAGCTGGTTTGCTTTTCAGAAGGAGATACAAACCAGACATTGTCACTTGGCCAGCTTAAAATTGAGCATAATGTTCTTAATGCAGCAAATTTCTGGTTTTATTTCTGTGGTGAGCATACGCTTCTTTGACTTTTCCTTCCCTCTGACCACAGTCCCCATGAGTTGCTAGAAGACCTTAGTCTGGGCTTGGTAGCAGGACTGAAACATCACAGACAACAGAAGACCAAGCTGGCAAGCTACAGGCTTCATGGTGGTGTCGAGGGTCCTGTTCCTGTCTCCTTCCTTTATTCAGTTGAGTCTTCATGTCTACTGAGACTTTCCAGAGTGCCATCTCTGCTTAGATGAAACTAGTCAAGGTTTCGGTTCTCCTGGGACCTTAAGTGCCCACAGGCCAACATGGCTCATTTTCTCATCGGAATTTCTTAATCAGAAGAATTTGTGGGCAGAATGTGGCATTCCCTGACAGAAATACGCTGCTCCTAGCCATTCACACAATTTTGCCAACGACCTTGTAAAAAATGACACACCTGTGCCACCCATTGACTTTCACCTCAGGAAGCAATTCAAGTATTACATCAAATCCTCATTCCTTAGCTAAGCCAATTTTGGAAGTCCCTAAAGGACTTTGACCCAGGTTGCAAAATTACTCTACACTCATTTCTCTCCTTCCACATGAAAAGATAACAGTCTTTGAAATTTTTGTCCTGCTGGCAAACGAGTTTTCTCATGGAAAGATATAAATTTGCAACCTCTTAGTTACTGAGTTTCTCAGCAAAATGTTGACTTATGACCTAATATTTGGCTTTAGTCTGACTTTGGAGCATTTTACATCCATGCTCACAATTCAACATGACAATCAGACATTGTTATTTGTACGATTTCCAAAGGGCATGTCATGTTGAAGGAAGAATTAAGATCAGGTTCACTTTTACCTTTCAAGTGATGTTGCGAAAAGGAAAAAGAAATAAGCTGGACAAGACGGAGTGGAAACGGACTCTGACGAAAGTCTGGCCATCTGAGTGGGGCACTTGGATTTCTTCAAGCCACAAGTATCTGTGGCTCCAGCTTGGGCTAAGTGATAGGTAGGCACAGTTGCATGAAGGAAGCTGCATTTATAGTCCTGCTGGCCTAAGCTGAAAAGGCAGAAAACATGGAAGGGATGTGGGCAATGTCTCAGCTGCAAATCCCTGCTAATCAGGAAGGCAGCAGAGGAAGACAGGGGGAAGTACCATATTTCCCCATGTATAAGATGCACCTTAATTTGGGGGCCCGAAATTTGAAGAAAATGTATTACATAAAGTTATTGAACTCAAGTTTTATGCATCATAAAATTCATACAACTCCTCATCACTTGCAGGAAATGCAAGTAAAAAAATCTACAACCACTGTATAAGATGCACCCTGTTTTTAGACCGCAAATTTTTTTAAAAAGGGTGTGTCTTATACATGGGAAAATATGGTAGTTCTCCTTCTTGAGATGCTAAATAACCCCAGCATTTCCCCATTTGCAATCAGGGACTAAATTTACTATTATATTTCTTGTACCTGTTTCAGGAAGCATGTGCTGATCCCCATATTCTGACAACGTCAGAACAGGGAAGACCTAGAGAAGCTTTTGTGCCATGTATTGTATGTGGGCCAAATCAGAGGCTCCAACTGCAGTCGGCTCTCCGCCTACGCCACACTCTCCATCCCCAACATCCCTGCCTCACTTCCTCAGCATCCCAGAGCTTCCTCCTCTCTTAGCTCCACACTGAGTAAAATGCAGCACCAAGCCCTCCCCTGGGCTTCCCAACTTCATCAGTTTCCAGGAAAACTTTCTGGACCTCACAGAGGTCTCCCCAGACCTTCCTGGCATGTCACAGACCCTGTGTGAGACAGAGGGCTTCTTTGGTCTGACCATGTCCTCAGGAACATTTCAGATGCCAGCTATTAGAATCCCACACACCCCACCCATCAATGGCTATATCTCCTTTACATAGACTCTCTATCTGTCCCCATGCAGAATGAGCTCCAGCTCATCCAAAAGTCTAAGATGTGCCTCTTCCTTGTAGGATCAGAAGCAGTTTTACATGTGGCCCCTGATAATTACGTACCCACCTTCTTATTCTGTGCTGGTTACCCACAAGCTCTGGCTTCTTCATATGCAGCGGAATATATCAAGCATCTGCCTCCAGGAGAGCTAAGAATTTCCTCTCTCTCCCCTCCTATCACAAGCTCATCCTCTTCATTTCTTGAGCCTGAGAATTTCCACTGTTTTGTTCCAAGGTCAGCTCCCTTTTCTGTGAGCTTAGCTTCTTATCTATTCTCTACTTCCACTGGGAAGGTATTTCTACCCCTCCATCCCCTCAACTCCATGTCAGAGACCTCTCCCACTTGAGACATTTTCATTTCCTATTTATATTAACTATTCCTTTCTGTTGAGGATTTTTTTTCCACTTTCTTAGATGATTTGCCAGTGATTTCCATAGCTCTTGGAGGAATCTTGGGCTGTAGTCCCAGGACCCAAGCTAGCCCTAAAGGGCTCTCTAGGTTTCTATGCAGAAACATAAATATAAGTATAAACACACACACACACACACACACACACACACACACACATATATATGTATACATATATATATATAATGTAAGTAGTGGAAAACAATAAGATGGTACACTATCATTACTGTTCTGTATACACGTGAAATGTAATATGCAAAAATATGGACAGGATTAGTACATAACTGAGTAGGATTAGGGAATCTTAGGACAAGTTGATTACAATGTTTTCTTTAATCGTGTTACAGTCTATTCTAGCATACATTACATAGGCACCAAATCTTATCTCTACCCTCCTGTGTGCCCTTGGTGCCTGGAGGTGCCGTTATCCAGCTACAGAACACAAGGCCTGGCAGAGCTCTCCCACTTCCCAGGGCAGTGGCTCCCAGATACTACCCAAACATGGGGAAAGCGTCCTTTATATCCTTGGCCTGCATCTGAAAATTTTGCTTCATTTCACTCTCCTCTTTTCCTTAAAATAAAAAGAAAACAAAACAAAAGGCACTCAGTTCACACATAAAAAGAACAGATATGAGGACTTTAGAGAAAGGAGGAAAGAACAGCTTTGACATTAGAGAAAGTCAAGGGCATCTGGGCCTCCATTCCCAGGATGCCAAGACAGCAGCAGATAGACAGACCACCCCTGCCTTGTCTCCCAGCAAGCATCTTAGCAGACAGGATCCAAGCCCTTCCCTGAAGCCCACTCCATCCCCAGTCCACCCACACACCAGAACGTTACAAGTGGAAAGGGACCGAGATCATGAGGGTGTCTGGCCCCAGTGCTTCGAGCTCCTCCTTAACATTTGAGGGAACATAGTCAGTGTATATCACCAGAGGAAGTTTAGACACCATCAACATAGCCACAAGTGAGCTGGAATACTGGATGACTTGCTCTGTTGCTCCACACTGGTAATAAAATGAGATTGCATGGCCTTTCACTGCACCGCTGGTTCCACCCTGCCCCAAACTCACTTGGAGCACAAACTTTCAGAGACAACAGCCTTCCAGGCAAGAACTTCATTAAGCTCTTCTACTCCATCCTAAAT